TTCCAATGGTCTGTTAGCTAAATAGGGACACGTGATGCCCGGTAGTCGGCGATGCCCACAGGTGGTCAGCCTCAAGTTTAGTTGTCGGGTGCTCTACAGCCACGAGGGTTCTGTGTTTAATAAAGCAGGGGGCCCCTCCACTTGTCTCAATGTAGGGCAAACCCTTAGGCATTTCACCCTAGGATGGTTGTGTTGCGCAAACGCATTTTTGCATTCCAGTAACAAGATAATTCCAGACCCTCAATACCGACCACTCACGACAAACCGCCGAAACCGCACAATTTGGGCCAGCTCCAGCGCTGTCTGAACCCCCTTTATGGCCTCTTACGGCCGTTGGCACTAGTTGTCGCTAGTGCCTACGTCAACCAAGGCAGCGAGAATAAGGTCACGACGATATTGCATTGCACTTTTAGTAATATCCATTGTCACACTCGTCCTAGCGTGGGGCTCAGCTGTGATTGGAAGTTAGGAATGACGTCTTGCTTTGATACTTGGTTATGAAGCTGTAGTGGGAATACTTACTCCAAGGCCAACAAACTACGATCGTCTAGCCATTCGAGACCTCAGCATGGCTATGACGTTGGTAGGTTGAAGGTCCGCCGAGAGATAGGAGCAGAGGTATCAATCATGTCAGGCCTGCAAGGCATATATCTCCTGATATTTGTTCTAGAACTCATCTCTGCACACACAACATATGCGCTGCACTGACGAATACGAGTAAGCGAAATCGGAAAAAGGTTGGTTGCACGACATGCGAAGCTACCGAAAAGCGAGGAGCAAAACTTACCTCAAACAGCATGGTACCTTATTGAAGAAAAGAAGCTTCTTGCAATTTAATGAAGCTCTAGGATCGGGTTTTATGCCACTGTAAGGTATCGGGGTTTGAAGTCTTGAAGAGTGCATCCCCCAATACTCCTTTCCCCCGAAAACTACACAGCTCAACGATGATAGGTAGATCCATCTTGTAGCAAATACCTAGCGTCCGCGGGGAACAAATTATTCCTATCAAGCCGATCGCCCGTCGTGTGCGTAGGATACGGTACCTGAACTCATCGTACATATATTTTCCCCACCACACCACCTCAACAGCCGAATGGCCGCCCGCGCAGGAATCCGGGGTCGAGGGATGTGCACTGCAGGGCCGGATTTGAGGCCCAGGATCGTCAACATCTGAGACGCAACCTCCGTTTCTTTCAGGTCATTGTTAGTCACCATCGTGATCGTGGCTAGCTGAGTGAAGTCGCGAGCTTCTACAATATCTGGCACTCCGATACGATACAGCCCGACTCGTGAAAAGATGATGACGCATGGGCCTAGGCGGCGTGTGATGGGGGGAAGAGGAGAAGCAAGTTGCGGCGCATGGGGTAAATGGCCGCGGAGATGGCGAACCTGCTCCATCTCGATGTTATCTATATGCACGCTACTCCAACATAGATATTCACTAACGCACTAGGAGCTATGGTCGCATCGTCATATCAGTCTCAAAAGTATGTAATTGAAAATTAGCAACGTATGCGTAGATACATTTTTAGAATCGAACAAAAGCCACATGCATCCGTCCGAACACCGTCCCCTACGCCGTTAGATGCCGGACTAAAAGAGAGCCACACACGGATGCGTACGGAAAATGACCAATGACCCCCGTCAGCCATAACCCGGAATTTTGCTTTTCAATCTCGTACATTCGTCACAACATTATACTGCCAAGTCGCAGAGGTAGAGTCGATAAGAAAGAGGATAATGATGCTATATCCACTTCTCCGACGACGGTGGGCTGCCGAGACTTAGTTGGCTCTGCGGCGCCGTAGACGGCCGGGGGTTTTCTATCCTCGTGTTATACGGCGGGATCATCATCTTGTTGTTTTTGACGATGCCGCTGAATGCCATCATCGTCGTGTCCTCGCTCTCACGCTGCGTCTGGCTCTGCAGCTGCGTCTGTGATTTGAGCCGCGTCATCCGCGTCGCTGCCGTGCCTAGCACCCTCCGCCCCGTGTTCCCGATCACCTCGTCGCGGTCAACGCGGAATAGCCTGGGGAACCATGCGCGAAGCAGGGGCCTCAGTGCCGGCGCCGAGGCCGTGATGATCGCGAGGTTTGTCTCGATGGCGGATGTCACGAAGCCGATGTTGGCGTCGGCGCTCAATGTTGTCTTGAGCATGAACAGGCCCTGGACGAGAAGGACGAGTCGGATGATACTTGTGATGGTCGTGCTAATAGTAACAAAGATCAGCCCACGTGCACTTTCCGGACCGTAATTTTGCGATAATGGAAACTTACAGGAATCCGAGCAGGAAGATCATCATTAGAGCGATCTTTGTGCGCCTGGGTATCTTCAAATCGATGAAAATTCTCAGCGGCAGCGCCAAGATGAGTATATCGGTGACGATATTGAACGTAGACGAGACAGTAAATAGGACCCTCCTATCAATGCATGTCCCCTCTATCTCAGGTTGCCAGGTCTTGTTGATGGGTATGCATTGAAGTACGGTTGCGAGGAAGACCGCAATCATCATTCCAAGGTTGGCCGTGTTGATCCAGATGATAAACCGCTTCACCCCGGGCTTCTGTCCAAACAAACGCAGCAGTAAGAGCAGTATCGATGTCTTGACCAGCGCCAAAATCGGATTGTATAGGATTTCAATAGCATAATTCCATACCAGGCCGGGTATGGGATCATGAGGCGGAATATCTTGCCATCTAATCCCTATGAAATTCGTCTTGATAACTTTGAGAGTGTCAGCATACATGGCCAGTATCATACCATCGCGTTGCTGAAAACATACACATATAACTAGCTGCTGTTTCCAGCATTGATAATACCTGTAAACCACATTCCGTCAGTTCATTCATCTCGCAGGTAATTCCACGTCGTCGACTGCTTACCATCGCTATGCATACTAAAGTATCATCTATTCTACCCGTTAGCTAGCCATTTGAAACCTAGGCACCGTACGTTTCTTACCTAGCCCAAACTGATGCGATGATAGCCTACCGGCTACTCTTGTGCAGAGCACCACGAAGGCGAGAGCTGTGAATCCTATCACGATACCGATTGCGAGGCCTTGCTGAGGACTAGAGAAGCGAAATGGATCCGACGACACAGCCACCTCGGTAATGTTGTTGCTGTCGACAGCAAGGAGCGTGTCGCTCCTTGGTAATAGAGACATATTGCGTTATTGTGCCGTGTAGACAGCGTACTATGGTACTGGCTATACGTGCTGACCGAAGGGACGAAAGGAAGCGACAGAAATTAATCTTCACAATACATTTCATAATGCGAGGGCTAAGTCTTCAGATATAGTAGTATAATATCCTGAAGGCGAAAACAAGATTACAGGTAGTCGGCCGCCTGAAAATGATCTACACCCGGCGTTGGACGAGGTGAGTTTGTACAGACGGCATCAGAAGGGGAACCGGATAAATCAGCCTTGTGTCAGATGGATCGCATCTGATCGCCATACGGCCGGACTTGGGCGACAATCACAAAATACTGGAGGGTGCCAGTTGATTCGAGGACGTTCCTTTTCCCTATTCATGCCATTCATGTTATCTTCACGAGGTGGCAAACAGTATTCAAATCGCCCGTCATAGCTCACAGTGAGTGACGGTTGTGAGAGTTGTGGCAGTGGAGACAGCGGGAGCACAACTCATGACAAGACTATCAGAGCAAGCAAGACATGTCGTTGTCTACTGTCGAGTATGTAGATAACCGTCTTCCGTGCAACCCCTACTTACTCCTCCTATGTCGGTGAACTCCATCCTGGCATGGTCGTTCGCTCACCTTGAACTCCCGACATCAGATGGTCCATCGTACCTGAAATCAGTACGATCCGGATGGTGGTGAGGGTGCGGGTACGCCCGAAGAGTGTGGCTCGATGATGGGATGAAAGAGACCAAAAAGCCTAATAGCGTAGATCAGACGGTGGAAGGCCGCTACCCTCGAGGCAGAGTTCATGCTCGCAAAGGTAGCTTTGTAGAGGCCGTCTGCTTTATGAAACATGTTTGGATTTATGTGTGACCTGATTGGATCACGGTCCACGGGTGACAGAGGGCTCGAAGGTGTGGCTGCCCGTTACCCCAATAGCCGAGGACAGGGCCGGTTGAATCGTCTAGACTGTCGCATGTGGCGGGTGCGGGTGGACACAAGGCCAAGAGAAGTCTGCCCCATCCGTGCGCACAGCAGGCTGGCCAGATCGGGGCAGAGCATGAATACAGCTGCATTATACGAGCATCGCTCCCGTTCCTTGTTGCCAATCAGCGCATTGGAGAGCAGCCGTTCTGCCATGGCGAAGGCATGTCTGTGTGTCAGATTCTGTCGATGAAATCCTCCACGATTTGCGTGCCAATCTGGGGGATGGACGGGCCCTGCCTTCGGAATATGGTATAAGCGAATGTCGTCGATGATGCCGAATCCATCTACCACTTGCTTGCTTGCTTTCTTGCTGTGTACCCGGGAGCAAGGCACTGACCTCATCCGACATGACACTATTTAATCAATCAATTGACCAAACCGGTCCACATCACCCAAGAAAACAACAAGACAACTTATGAGAAACCGGCACGAAGAGACGCATAAAGAAAAGTCGTTCTGCACAGACAATGAGGTTGAGCCAAGACAGGTAATTTTCTGTTATACAGCTTGTTCTGCCTAGTGAAACCGTGAGTAATCATGTTACCTAGCATTGATGCAAACAACCCACAATTGCACATTTGCATCTTCCTACTGTAGGAAAGTGATTTGCGTAGTTGAATTGTGTAAGAGGTATCGTGTTCCATGGAGTGTGTTAATTAGGCCGAGTGGATGCTACACAATAGGCGGGTCTTTATTGTATTGCCTGTTGGCAACAGGCGGCACCCTTTGTCTGCTCCTCCTCTAGTATCTGCTGTACTTGTATGCAGCTTAGGTGGAGTACTCCGCACACAACCCGGACCGGCGATCATAGTGTCTCGATAGCAGCCGACACTCCATCAAGGCAAACACTTAGAAACTAAGGAGTTTATGGTGAGATGGCCGAGTGGTTATGGCGCCGTGTTCAGGTCATTAGTGATATCAGATTCATCATGAATAACTGATTTCATTAGTATCAGGAACAAATTCGCGGTGGAGCAATCCGCGTGGGTTCGAGTCCCACTCTCATCAGCGCAATATTTTTACATTTTCGTCTTTTGTTTTATTTTATTTCTAGTTGCATTCTGTTCTTGTCCCCCCTGAATGGCGATTGCTTTGGCGTTGTGGTACCCTGATCAAATTATATTTGACGTGTATACTGGTATTCGAAGGGTTAATAATCTGTGCCTATTCTATGTAGATAATTTCACGGAGGGGGGAGGGGCAGGTGAAGGTGCCGAACACTAGATGGCAGCCGTCATCAGCTGCCCCAGCAACCAGCCACTTATACCTCATTTGACCCTTGTTCGCCAACTGAATTCGTAACGCTGCCACGAAGCTGCTCGAACAGGGAACCGCTACAAACCTACACCCTGCCTTCCACACCGACAATGGCTGCACCCGACACCTCGACGCTGACGAGCTCAGCGCAGATCTTCACGACGTACACGCTGCCTCAGATCCGCGCTGTCCACAAGACGCTGCACACCCAGATCGACGAGAAATCGGCCCGCCTACGCACACAGGTCGGCAATAGCTATCGCCAGCTTCTCGGCACCGCCGACACCATCGTGCAGATGCGGGAGGACATGTTGTCGGCGCAGAAGGTGCTGACCCACATGGGCGGCCAATGCGGGCGCGTCGTCGTCGAGAACAAGATTACGGGCCTCGGGCGATTTCGCGGCGGCGAGGATGCCGAGGCGGCATTGGGCCAGGCTGCGCGCGTGAGACTGCTCAGAGCCTGCGGGCTGGCTGTGAGCCGGTTGCTGAGGGCTGGGGCGGGCACGGGTAAAGATACCGAAGGCGGCAGAGGCGACCGGCTCGTGCTCGCTGCGAAAGTCTTCGTGCTCAGTCGCTTGCTTGTGTCCAGCTTCGGGAATCTGGGGGCATTAGATGAAGAGATTAGGGCTGCGGTTGAGGCTGCGAAGAAGAGCTTGGACGGATTAAGGAGAAAACTAGTGCGCGCCGTCGAGAAAGTGCTGCAAAAAATTGGAGAGGGCACGGGCATCGCCGATATACTCAAAGCTCTGTCCGCGTATAGTCTATCGTCAAGCTCTGGTACGAGAGATGCTTTGCGACGGTTTCTTAGCATTAGGGCTGAGGCAATTACGTACGAGTTCGATTATGAGGAACACGATAAGGAGAGGGGCACAGATAATGTCCTCAGAGGTCTCGAGTTATATACCAAGACATTAGTGGACGTCCAAGCTTTGGTCCCGAACAAGCTACCGGAGGCGTTGCTGGAGCTCAAGAAGAAGCCACTGCTAGCCGACGAATCGCTACGATCTCTCGAGGGACTTAGACTGGACATTTTCGAGAGGTGGTGCGGTGATGAAATTCGGTACTTCACGCCGTTCATAAGACATGACGATCTAGACGGCAAGCAGGCTAGGGAAATGCTCACGAGCTGGGCGGCGAAGGGCGGCGAAACCGTTCTCGGCGGCCTGAGCAGGACGCTCGAGCACGTCTCTGAATTTAAGGTTATCATAGAACTACGAACAAGCACGTTGCAGCAATGGATCAGAAACGGCGGGAAAGCGAGAGGATTTGATCCATCTATCATGCTAGACGGCTTGCGCAAGGCGATCAACGATCACCTCTTACAGCTCATAGAAACTAAGGTCGCGAAACTCAAGCTCGTTGGGTCTGAAGTGGCCGCCACACTGGAAGGATGGCAATCGGGAATCACCGACCGTCAACGTGGTCTCTGGGATGACGAGATGATTGGAATGGACTTTTCCGTCAGTGCCGCTCAAATTTCACACGAAGTGGTATCCCGGGTCTACGGAAGGAATGATGCTGTTGCACGAGCTGTCACTGGCTTCGAATCGTGGCATCAAATCATCGGCAATGTCGGGGACCTGGTAGAGCAACTCAGACGGCAGAGATGGGATAATGATGAGGACGAAATTGAGGACGAGGAGGTCATCGAGGCAAGGCAGGATCTTCTGAGCAAAGACGACCCACAACTACTGCACACGCGACTTAATGAGTCGCTGCTAAAAGCATTCAAGGACCTAGATGAGCAGCTCACAGCACTATGGAAAAGCCGAAAGGATGGTTTAGACAATGGTCAGATTGCCATGTATGTCCTCCGCATCTTGCGGGATATCCGGAACCGTCTGCCTAAGCTCGAGGGGATACAGTCTTTCGGCTTAGATAATGTCGCCTCACTGCACGAAAAGCTCGCGACCCATGTATCTGTAACACCGCTAGAGGAATTCACCACGACAACTCTGACGCAGAAACGGGTAGCTGGTCGAGCGTTATGGGAGGGCGAGCCAGCCTTGCCTACTCAACCCTCCCCTAGCACCTTCAAGCTCTTGCGGAATATCACCATGTCGATGGGTGATTCCGGGATAGATCTTTGGACCCCGGCTGCTGTTCAGACCTTAAAGCGTGTCCTTAGCCAGCAGCTTGTGGATGTTTGGCGCAAAGAACTCACGGCGCCTCGTCCAGACTCAGATGCGGCGGAACCCGCGTCCGAGACAGCTGAAAACGAGGAGAACAAGAAACCAGCTGGAATTGGCGAGAAAACACCGGAGCGCAGTAACGATGTCTTTAGCCAGTGGTTGTTCGACGTCCATCTACTGCAGCACTATCTCAGTATCAGTAATAGTGAATCGGACAAGACAATGAGAGATCTTGCTTTGGAAATATTGAAAAAGACTGGCCTTGATGCTGAAGCAGAGCGCCGCCTTGCGAAATCGTCGGGGGAGTACTGGAAGAGAACGAGTCTGCTGTTCGGCTTGCTCACGTGAATGATTGATACCCGTATAGACCAATTCATTTCAATGTAATATTTGCATGTCTATAGTATAGACAAGTACAAGAAGAGTCAAAAACTCTATATACATAGATATATCCAACGCGGACAAATGTCCTTTTGCAAAACAATTTACACCCCTATTCACCGCTCGCTGTCTCTACTTTATCATAACCCTCTTGAACTTACACTCCCCCTCACAGCTTATGCCTCTTCTGCCCCGAGGCGATCTTCTGAAACTCCTTCTGCGGAATACCCCTCACGAACCTGTCCAGTCCCGCGAAGACCTCGGCGACATTCTGCCGATCCAGGATCTCGCGCTCGGGCTTCCTGATCAGGGCCTTGATGCCCGTCAACGAGTCGCCAATAAGATGCTCACCCAGGCGGTCCTCCACCTCAGCCAGGACCTGGCGCATGAACCCCTCATCATCGCCCTTCTCGCAGGGGAAGACCTTGTTCACGAAGCCCGTGGCGACGAGCTCGTCGGCCGTGATGCGCTTGCTCATGAGCAGCGCCTCGTTGGCTCTGCTGATGCCGAGGCGCTGCACGAGCGCGTGCGACGCGCCGCCCTCGGCGACGAGACCGAGCGATGAGAATGGGGTGAGGAGAAACGTGTGCGGCGCCGCGTAGACGAAGTCCGCGAAGGCGGTTAGTGCGGCGGACAGCCCGATCACGGGCCCGTTGAGCGCGGCGATCAGGATCTTGGGGTGTGTGTAGAAGGCTTGTGTTATGTTTAGGTTGTTCGCTACGAAGGTGCGCAGCCATTCTCGGTAGGCGTCCGCCTCGGGTGGCAGGTCCCGGCCGACAGAGACGTCGGCGCCGCTGGTGGGGTGTTAATTGGTGATTAATTCGTTTGATGTGGTGGTGGCGACGAGTGAGAGTGAGTGAGAGTATGTGGGGATGAGATGAGTGTAGAGTGTGTGTAATTGAGCTAAACAGCAATAGACAAGGAGCTATTTCTTATGAGATTGAGTGAATATCGCCATTTGTGGAGGATTTCATCAATTCCCGACAAACTAGTTCCCTTAGGTCCTCCATATAGCCCTATCCCAATTGCCCTTTCCGCATACATATTATCTAGAGAAAACTGAGGAAACAACTTACGCCGAGAAATACCGGCCCTTTCCGGTCATAATGGTGATGTAGATGTCGTCGCGTAGTGCAATGTCTCGTAGGGCCTTGGAAAGGAAATAGTATCCGTCCATATCCAAGGCATTGAGCTTCTTATCATTGTCAATGGTGATGGTGGCTATACGCCCCGAGTAGGAGACCTTGATGTGCTCGGCCATTGCATGCGTATGTATGTATATGTATGTGTATATATGTGAATGAGGTCGTAAGATGGCCGTGTGAGAGTCGTAGAATTAGATTTCGAATCAAAGGGCCGCGACTGTGATAACTTCAAAAGAGCTATCTACCTACTTACTTCTCAAGGAAGGTAACGGTGAAGCGAAAGCAGGACCCGCAGAAACAAGGTACAAGCCGAGGCTCTTTCGCCATGCCTTGTTCCCCACGTTTTGCCCCGCGATCCTCCTTCCCATAGTAAGCCGCCAATCTGCCTCGGGAGGCCGGGTCTATCTAGCGTGCGCCGTGCCTAAACCTTACGTATACTCCACATTTCCGGAGGACGGTTCCGTCAATTCGGTAGCTTTACGCAAGATGGCGGGCATTAAGTACATATGCGCAGGAACTGTAGATCTAGATAGATAAGCGATTCCTACGGGAAAGGTTTGCATTCTAATGATGATAGTATTCTCTACTATAGAGTAGATAGATTACACGTCGGAATCTGCTAGCTGAATCTCAGCACCAGAGCTATCGTCTTTTACTAGATGCTAAATATCTAAGGAAACTCTCGAGCTATATACATGTCACTATGTTAATTTACGCCCTTTTATTTTATTCGAGATGGTGAAGAGTCGTGATAGGATGAGTTTGAGACCACTAAGTAGGCACGGTTAGGGTACTACTTGTCAATCAATTGCTCAAGCACAGTACATTCTAGCAGCTCAAGCAATTGTATTGCTGTAGATTCTTCATATCTATCACCTTATCATAGCGTTAGAACTACGATGAAATCATCAGCACTGCCTAGGTATCTAACAGTAAAGAGGAGAGGCAGACGAGAGGAAGTTGCGACTAGGTACTTATTTCCGTGGCATGTTGGTGGTCCGAGCGTAGTCCCTTGGAGTTGAGTTGGGGTCCACCCGTGGGCTGCCTGATCTTACTGGTACTTATAACACGGCAATCTAGACGGAGCTTGCAC